ACCGCTGAGGTCCAACATATGGCAGCACTCTGAGTCTTCAAGCAGGGCGTTGGGGCTCCGAACAGAACCTGCCAGCTCCACAGTGGCCTACTATAAGGGGAAAATTGTCAGCAGGAACATTTAAGGTCCCAAACCACAAGCACTGATAAATGTCTGCATTTCTCAATGTAATTACCTTTTATCCGGTGTCCCTTTTCCAAGAGGCCAGGAAGGAAACAACAGAGCCCTATAACAGCAACAAAGCTTAAGTGGAAAAAAGCAGTAATAGTCTGAAAGCTGGCGAACAGAAGAGTAGTTGAGCAAAGTGAACAAAAAGCAGAAAATAATGAGAGAGTGGAGGTGAGAAGAGGTGTATCTGAGTTCAGCCAATTTGGAACGAGCAAATTTTACTACAGTAAAAGAAACATTTTGTGCTGATGTGTACACGTTTTAATTTAGGGACAAATTGTCAGTAGTCACTCCGGGCACTCCGGCTTCCTCCCACAGACCAAAAACATGACTGTTAGCTTAATTCGTAACTCTAAATCGCCCCTAGGTGTGAGTGAGAGAGTGAATTGTTGTTTGTCTCTATGTCTCCCTGTGATGGACGTGCGACCTGTCCAAGGTGTACCCCACCCCTCACACTGTGACTGCTGGATATGAGCACCAGTGACCCTAGAAAAGGGACAAACGGGTATACAGTAGATAATGGATGGATTGCTTCTCAGTAGTCAAACCTTAAGGGCCCAAAGAAGATGTATGGATTTTCTTACAGTAATCATCCACAACTGGTGGATTTTTGGATTCAACATAATTAAAGATGGTTACCATAACTAATAAACTTCAACATACAAATGTCTGGCAGTGAATTTTATATAAATTAAGCAAAAATTTGTTGTGGTAGTAGTTCAGAGTCATCAGTTAAGGATTTGCTGAATGCTAACTAACTGTGCAACCTATTTATCCAAATATATGACATACAAGATGGAGTGAGATATGCATTCTTTCAGATAACTTTCCAAGTGGCAGGCAGAAATTCAAAAGTCCACAAATAAAATGATGTTTATTTACAAATGCAATACAATATAACTTCTCACACGAGGGAATTCGGCAAAACCATACAGGCGTGAAAAGCAGAATCAATCCACAGGGGGGCTAAGACAGCAGCTACATTTAGCATATAATGATGAGTTAACAAGGGGGATGCTTGAAAACACCTGGGAAGAGGCATGGGGATCAGGTGTGAAGGGGAGGGGTTAGGGGAGAACATAGGGGCAGATATACATTGAGGATCACACAGAGATAATAAACAAGAAAAACAGAAAGAAAAAATAAAACCTTGAAATATGTTATTCAGCAAGTCTGTCTTATAGTAATCACGTCTAAGATCACTTCGTACATGTGTGAAATTTGTGTTTAAAATAAATCATATCCTATCTGTAGCAGATAGTTTTTTTGAAGGACCTCAGTTTGGATAAATGTTTAATTTTGACTGAACTCTGCCAAGACCAAGTGGACTGCTGCCATCTTAAAACAACTCCACTTCCACTTTTTAAAAGAGCCCAACATTTACAAGATTAGAAATATTCCTTTAAAGTGTTATATTAAACCCTAACAAGAAATGTTTCAACAGACAAAAACTCAACTGGAACTTCCTAAAGTGGTTGCAGGTTTATTAGAACCAAATATTAGGCTGTCTAAACAATGCTTATTCTTATTTAAAGAGTTTTTTTGTATTACTTTTAAACTTTAAGGTTACTGCCCTCGTAAGTCAGCCACCATTGTTGATAATTCCTTGCTCCTTTTTCATCAACTGTCCAATAAACACTCTTTTACCCTGTATGATTTAGAGGGTGGAGGACCAGTTAACGTGTTCACGTAGGCCAGTGGCTGCCAATTCAATTCCTCTCTGTTTAGATTATTTCTACGCAAGCCGGTGACTCTCCTGTGTCACTGATAAGGGCGCTGGAAGAAGGGTCAACCCACAAGGGAGGGAAAAATCTACAGAAAATATTGAAAAAATATCTTCCTACCCTGAAAAAAACTACTTTCCCCCCAAACTTCCTCGCCATGGCACAAGGCTATTACACTGATAGAAATTCTCTTCCCTCCTCAACAGTCTGGCCCTGAGCACACGAGGGACCAGAGTCTTAGCCACATCTCAAGCTAATTTACAAAGATCCCGAATTATTCTCTTATCTCGGGCTTTAAAGGTTGTAAGGTTGATTAACAAGGTCCTGTCCTGTTTATCAGTTTGGGGCTGGGTGTGGAAAATAGCCTACGATAAGTGCACAGACCATTAAACATTCTATTTCCCCTAATATTTGTTGGCAACCATCTGCTTAACTGATCTCCCTTCACTTTAATTAAAAGGGATTCCCATCTTGTTGGGGTCATTATGTGCTGGCGGACGCCAGGAGAGGGGTTTGTGATGAGTTCAGCGTTCCCTCTGTCCCTAGGTTGCCAGAGGGCTTTTTTCATCTTTCCTTCAGAGTTAACCTCTTCCTAACCGCACTTCCTCTCTTTATTTAGTGAGTGAAGCAAAAATAAAGCAATAGTAAAGTCCAGCAGTTGTTAAAAACATCCAGTTTGGGCAAACTTTTTGTCTCCTCCGGGGAAATGTTTAGATATTCGCACTATCTCTCTCAGCTGAGGAGCTGGAGGATCTGGCCATAATGGTTTGATTTGCCCAACTCTAGTTGGATCGATACGGCTGTTTACAGTTTCTCCCTCTTTCATCCCTTTTGTCTTTTTTCTAATTTAGTGTTCCCAAACCATGCACAGGGGTCTGAGTCTGTCTGCTGTGCTTGCATCTTTGCCCTTCTCCCTGCTCTCCATCACTGTCCATTGATGTTTTTCCTCCCTCTTTCTTTCCTCCTCCTCCTCTCTCCTTCCTTGGTTGGTCTTGGAAAAAGAGCTGCATGCCTCCACACTTCTGGACAAGACTGATGGCTCGTCAATAGCATTAGCCAGCATTGCAGGCCTCAGTGGTGTAGAACCGAATCGATACGACCCAGTAAAAAGACTTATTCGTGTATGCAGTCCATTTCAGCCAATTCTCATGTTACCACCGATGAGTTTTTGTAAGAATTCAGGAATCGCCATCTAATTTATTCCTTTTATTTCAGTATTTTCTCAGTCATTCAATAACAATTTAAGTATGTCTACTGACAGTCATTCAGTTTTTTTGTGTGTGTAAATATAAATTATTTAAAAATTACAACATGTCTCATCACATAAAATAAAGATATACCAAATTACGCAATTTTGCAGTAAAACATCACGTCACATCTGTTCTTTTTTAAAATTCTATTAATTTGTTTTCTAATTATAGTGTGTTTTTTGAATCAATTAGTCCTCAAAGAACATTGATTTCTACTTTCAGTGCTGTCTTCAGGGTGTGTGGGTTTAAACACGTGCATCAGTGAAATTTTAGGAAAATTGAATATTGTTGTAATTTGTAATAAGTTAACTAAAATGTGACTATTAATTTAATAATATTCAAAAAAAGTTCAAGAAAACAAATATTTGTTTGCTCTAAAGAACACATTATTTACTTTGTGAGTATTTAGGTGTACTGAATTTTCAGAAGCTGCTTTTGGGGGGAAATTAAGTCTCTTCACTGTTTTCCTTTCAACTGCCTTTAAGAATATTTACTTATTTTAAATTGATGTAAAAACTTCATATTTTTGTGTCGTTCAGCTCCAAATCCAACCTTCTTTAATGAAAACAAGAACTACGAATTAGAACTTATTCAAAATATTGTACTATTTATTGTCTATATTATCTGTGTCCCTGTGATGGACTAGAGTCCAGTCGAGGGTGTCCCCACATCTTGCACAGTGACTGCTGATGCTCACAACTTAGGAAGAAAAAGTAAAAAAAATGAATGGATATATTTTTGTCCTTTAATCACAATTATAAGTAGCTGATTTTTACGGCCATGAATGGTGCTTTTAGTAGATGTACACTTCTTGTTCTTTAGAAGCTGATGTGAGAAATGGTTTTACTATTCAAAATTCTATTGATGCTTTTTAAAAAAAATATCTAAAGACTTTCTTTTACAAACAGGCTTTTAGTCGTTAAGAGTTTTATATATGTGTATTCTACTGTTTTACTTTTTATGCATGTGATTTTAAAATGTTTGCTTTTATAGTGAATCACTTTGTAATGTTATATCAATGAAAGGTGCTATATAAATACACTTTACTTACGTTTCTTAAAAACTAAAGTATTTTTAAGTTACTTGAAACCGTTTTTACTACAACTCATTTCTCATGTGTGAAGTTACATCTCTTAACAACTGAGTCATATTTAACTACCTTTGTTTTTACAGTTTTCAAGTTGTAAGAAAGATAAAAATAAACTTGTTGTTTGCAAGATCAATCTTCTTTGAGCCACTTTTTTCACCTCATAGAGCATTTATGCTCCTCATATCAGAAAAAAGGCATTTATCCACATTAAGGTGTAATTTGACTAACATGATAGCAAAAGTTGCTTTTAACCAACATGACTTTACAGTGTACTTTTATCTCTTCTGATCATGATCATAGATACTATTTCATGGCAACCAGTGATTATTTTTTTCAGTCTCTTGGAAAATGTATTACGACGGACATACTTGGGAAAAAATGTCTAATTTTCTCTGTATTCTGACAACATGGGCCATTTTAATTTGATTTTAACCTATAATTAGACATCAGGACTTCATGTCCTTTATTTCCCCTGTTCTGTGACCATCATAACTAATTACTAACCACAGCAGCATCGTCTTCTCATGCCCGAACATCTTTTAATAACTCAATTAATCTAATCGTCCACTAATTGGTCAAGATAGCCTTTTCCCTAATGATTTCTATCGCAGTGTAATTAAAGAGCCCTGAAATCACAGTCTCTTGTTAAACCGGCTTGATTGACACACGGGTTTTGTAGTGTTATTTCTGCCCATTCCAGACCTGGTTCTTTGTTAGGATTCACAAGTCATGCCCCTGATCCTCCGAAAACAATCTGATGACACAATGTCAGTGACTGATAAATCTTTAATATAAAAATTGTACAAGAATTCTGATACAAATTACAAGAGGTATTTGGACAAAATATGAATAAAATTCCATTTACATCCCAAAACCCTTATGCATTTTATGCAAAAACCATAGACAGTTATGATACAGAAACAAATACAAGAAAAGCTAAGAAAAAAAACAAAACAAAATAAAAACAAGTCTTTTAAAAAGGATCTTTTTTATCCTTCCGTCTGCACATGGGAGGAACACCTCTTTGGGGTACAGTATCAGTGAGGAGTCCAAATCACCATTTTTGACAACAAAGTGACACAAGCTCCTTTGCTCTTTTTTTTCTTTTTTTGTTTTTGATTATGAAGCCATGCAACGTTGTCGAGTGCTGTAACACAGGCTTTGTTTAAACACAGACACTAATGCATCGTATACTCAAAAACACAGTAAAAAAAAAAGAAAATTACCAGCTCTTCAAACTATTTATATTTTAAGACTGTAAAATATATTTGAAAATACAATGGAAAGCATTTCATGAATTTACAGTATTTTTCTTTTTTTTTTCAGGATAGTTGACATTTCACAGGTTCCAGTTCAAATTATTGAGGGCATTATGTTTAAAGAACATAGGTCATAAAACTGAAGTATCTGTACAAACTCTCATGAGTGTATTTTATGTATATGACATCCCATTAAACATTATTACCTCACTTTGTTCCATGAGCTACACCGAGTGCGTGCAGTGCCACCCCTCATCTTCTCCTCTTGCTCCCACTCTCCTTACTCATTGTGTGACATAAACAAAATGGACAGCGGTTATCAGGTCAGGCATTTTCATTTGTTTGCCTTCCCTTTTCTCCCCTCTTTGTGCCATGCAGAATTGCAGAATAATGGACGCCTGATGCGGCTCTAATCAAATATTTAGGAATCACTCCAGTGGTTTGGGCCGGCAAGGCGCACCAAGCAAAAAAATGTTTCTGATGTCCAGAAGTGCAGTGACTCGCCAGCAGAACGTGACGAGAAATGTGCTCAGAGAATTCAGGAAGGAAAGACAGAGGAGGTCATTTCTCTGGAGGAGGTAGCCAGTGGTATGTCAGTGAGGCTTGATCACTCTGCAACAAACAACCAGTGAGAAGCTAGTGAGAACTTCTGGAAAGTAGTCTCCCTGCTCCCAGCTCTACCTATTTGTATCTTTTCTCCCCTCTACACCAGATGACTGCTGCAAGACTCCAGCTACAAAACATTCTCTGTTCAACCCCTTTTCAACTCTTCCACCCTTTCCCCCGTGCATCTCCCAGCCGTCTCTCTGCAGACAGATGTTTGGAAACTTTTTTTTCAGACATGTTTCTGGCCTCATGCAGAATTGAAATCTGCTGGTTCGACCTGCCACATCCATGACTCCAAGGGACTCTTTGGTTAACCGTTTCTGTGACATTTTCTTTAGAAGGATTCAAAAACGTGTGACAGGTGGTTGCTGCAATGACGTATAGAATGTAGGAAATGTGTGAAAACATATAGGCTCCACACTGAATGTGAGGTTGTTAACCAAAGCACACATACATTAAATTATGCTTGTCTGTGGTTTTATGGTTGATGATTGGAAGAGATTGTGACCACAGAGTTTACTTACTGTGAAAGAAAAGGTGATTTTTTTTTCACTTTTCTGATAAGGTATTTTTAAAGAAACATTTTTTGCCCAATAGTGACAAAAAAAGGAAAACATTGCAAGAAAGTTTAGAATAAAGATAAAAAGGGAACATTTAGATGGGCTTTTTACATATTATAATGAGGGTTTGTACACAAGTTATGAACATTTCACATCTCTCCTGCTCTAATTTTGCATTGAACATCCTTAGTCTTAGAAAATAAAGTTTAAAACTGAATGAATTGATGAGCTAATGGCTAGTCTGAGTGAGGTCAAGAATAAAATGGATTGGTGTTGTCTTACAAAAGCCCTAATCTCAAAGATTTCACGTTTTCATACCATGCTATTTCTGCCAATTTAATTGTGCAATGCAAACCTGGCGGTGGTGCAAAGATTTGTAAAATAAGGTTTGCGTGAATCATTTTTTTAAAAGTTAAGTTGTCCTAAGACTGGAGCAATTAACTGTATTCTCAACCCAGTTCAAGCTATTAGCTCTACAACCCGGTTAAATGAAACTATTTCTGCAAACAGGGTGTCACTTAAAGAGCTACCTACGACCGGTAAGATATTAATTGTTCATAGCCCTTCCACAGACAAACATCTTACCTACACCATTAACATAAATATAAAAAAAAATGTTTTATTTCTTGTGACGAGATTTGTCTCGGCTCATCGTTGCCAGCACCAGAGGTTACAGCGAGCCATCTACGGGCAGCCACTCTGCTCTGCGTTTCAATGTTTGTGTGTTCGAGAGACTGCTGTCAGCAGGGTTTCCGGAGAAGTACTCTCTTTTTTTTATTTAATTTTAAATTTCTGCCAGAGCGAAGGCCAGAGGGATTGAACGGGCGAATTGGGCAGCGACAGCCTCAGTGAAACCCACTCCTGGGAGAAGGCAGGGGTTCCTGTACTCAATTTTCCCTTCACTTGGGATAAACAGGCAATTACCCATCCCTTTTTGCTATGCCATGGCCGTCCGGTGAACTTAAGCATACACTATTAGTGTGTGTCCCTGTAGGATCGGCGCTGTGGCGTGTGGATGTGGTAAGTGAGTAGCAGGGATGAAGAAATGGGTAAGGCGGTTGTTAAATGATTGTGCTCTGACAGATAAAGGGGGGTGGGGATGTAAAAAGAGGAAAGGAGAAAGAGGGAAAAAAGAGAAAGGAAGTGAATTAAATTACTACCGACCCTGAAGAAGAATAAGCACACATAGAAAATGAAGAGATGAATTGAATTCAACTTAATTGACTGAGTCAAATTAAATTGTTCGGAGCGCACTCTCTTCCCTTCCTTTTCTCCTTCTGTCAGTGTCACAGTCTTGTCAGCAACCTTGACGTCTGGCAGTGTAACAAAGTGACAAGTGAGTTATTAGACGGAAGAAGCTGGAATGGCGGGATGCCTCCAGGTAACAGAGAAGCAGCACATTTTTAATGATCGCTGCTGTCATCCTTTCCTCCCGAGTCAGCCTTCCACCTCTGCAACCTTTCCATCAACCTCAGCTTTCTGTCTCGCCCTCTTTATCATGGAGAAAAGAGGTGGAGAAGTGGCATGTGTCTTATATGTGGAGTCTTAAAGAAAGGTATGAAATATTTCAACAGACTAGGTCATGTCGGTACAGCGAAATGGCTTAAGTGTAAAGGAAGAAGAACTCAACACTGTTACGGATGTAAGAAACACTGTACAGCACACCGTATAACACTGCATATTTTCCCACCGTGTTTAGCACCAGTCGAGTAAAAGAAGGTCTCTTGTAGTAACACATGGCATTTGGAATACATTGATAATACAAGTCAAACTCCTGAACACTGTCTTGCTCGTTTTTATATATGTATATAAAAAAAACACCGGACAAAAAAATATTTAAACAAAGATGCATAACTCACTAATAAATAACCCTTTCCCTTGGCTACTTTTCCCAATTATTCTAAAATTTTGTACCGTGAGACAGTCATGGATGAGTGAAAAGGAGTGTTTCACTCAAAAAAAGAAGAAGAAAAAAGAAAAACATGTTTTAAAGATAACAGATGAACTCAACAATGGAAACCTGCAGCAGACTTTCACAGCAAATGTTTTAAGACTCAAGTGCCTTGTATTGATCAAATGGGTTATAGTTCAAAAACCAAGTCACCCCTGGAAGAGCTACACATTTTGGTCAGAGTTGAACACATTTTTCTCTCTTTTTTGTCACGTTTCATTAAGACTAACAATTTGCGACAATGACAAAGTAAATGCATGCTATAGAGGGATTTACCCTCTAAACATACAAAGTAATTACTATCATTATGACAAAGACACAACCTAAAAAAGAGAAGGAGATATTCACTTCTTTTCCTTTCAAATTGTTTGTGTTTAGGGAACAGGACATCATATTTAGTCTGACTTGGTTTAGTTTTGAAAGTGTTTTTTTTCACTCATTTTCTGACTATGCTGAAGAGTACTGGGGAAAATTTTCAGGTTGTGTTAAGAGCTTTCAGTTGGGGAAACTGCTTTTTGAAATTGAACATGTGCAAAAAAAAAAAAAAAAAAAAAAAAAAAAAAAACTGGCACCAGTATGTTCAATCTACTGGATCTCACTTGCCCAAATTTGCCATAGTAAAAATAATAATAATAATAAAAAAACTTTAAAAATATTACACATCCCCTGTATAGATGCAAAGTGCAAAAACTAATCTGGTGTACTAAAATCATAAACATAACAGCCAAGAAAAAAAATCTGTAGAAATACAGAAAATGATATCAGTGTAAAAGCCCAAAAAAAGCATGCCGGCAACCTCTAAACATCTAACAAGCATTTAAAGCAATTCAAGGGATTTTTTTCAATCCTTAGGACTCAGTTTCAAACTCATCTTTGAAGCTAAAATAATGAGTCAAGGTATTAGGATGCTACCTCTTTCTTGCCTGAAAGTGGAAGTACTGTACTGTCCTGTAACATAAAACCCATAAAGAGAGAAAAAGGAAGCAAACAACCATCAACACAACTCTTACACCAAAAGCCTCTTGGGACATTATTTACAAATGGAGCTGTCATGCTTTTGTTAGGGGTCCATTTAAAAGTTATCATTACACAATTACAACAAGAAGAAAGTTTTTTTTTGTTTCACTTTTTTTCAGTACTAACGTTTTCTGCAGGCAAAGTCACAAATAAGAGTTTGGATGGATTCTTTGGAAACACAAAGTGGGAAGAAGGCAGAAAATGAAAAGATGGGGGAGGCCTATGAGAACAATTTACCTGGAGCTTTGTTATAAAGCAAACTCCATACCTACAAGCATCGTCCTGTTCTTCCAAAGATGGATAAGTCAAAAGACACAATGATAAACTGTATTTAGAGTCAATTATTTTCATACATGGAAATAATAATGTTTTGTGATGACTTTTAAAGGATGGGCAAGAAGCCTACAGGCATGTAGCTTGTAGCTGATGGTCCTGGTACGGGGGTTAAAAGCTTTTTAAGGAGGAACAGTGACGAGAAATGAACAAAGGAGCAGGCAGACCAACAGGAGGGTCGAGTGACGAGTCATTCTTCAGTCTAATATTGTAGAGAAGGGCGTGTTTTTATGAAGGTTTGGGTTCTGAGAGTGTCGGTTGCGGCTGCGCACAGAGCTGAACACCATGTTGCAACCGGGAATTTTGCACTTGTGCATCTCGCGCAGGTGCACAGTCTTGTAGTGCACCCGCAGTGTTCCTTTGTTGCTGTACACTTTGTGGCAGATGTTACAGAGGATCCCACTGCTGCTGCCATTGCTGCTCCCAGTGGAGGAAAGAAGGAAAGGCGACGAGGACGAGCCCAGTCCCTCGTCTTCTCCTTCTTTCAGGTCTCCGGTTTCGTCCTGATGTTCCCCTTCGGCCTGCCTCTTGGCACACTGGGAGAAGTCCTCTCCCTCACTGTGGCCCTCCTCATCCTCTTCTCCCTCCTCTTCAAGGTCATCCAATAAGATGCCTTCATCGCTGCCTTCTTCTGACTCATGTGAGGAGTGGACGCTGCTGCTGGACTGAACACTGGATGTGGTGCTCAGGTCCAACACCACATAGTCATCTGGCTGGCCCCGAAAGAGGCCGTTGGTGTGATGGTTCCTAAAGTCCTGGTTTAAAGGATGATTGGGGTAGTCGTTGCTCATAGGGAAATGGGCATTGAAGTTCAGACCAGGAGGCCTGAGGCCAGCGCCTCCAATGCCCATCCTAGCCATAGGGTCCAAACCCCTGTGGTGCCCTGCGTAGATCTTGGCCAGTAGCTCAGCTCGCAGGTCCTTGGGCAGTGGCGTGAGTTGAGGGTCAAGGACAATATCGTCCAGCTCTTTGGTCAGCAGTTTACGGTGCAAGTTGATGTTGGAGCTGTGCCTAATGCAGAAAGACAGTCACAGTTGTAAATCGGAATGCTGTCAATGTGTTACCTTTAAAGTTTTGACTCTAAGACACAAAACTGCATTTAAATACACAAATTTATTCCAGTTACAGCCTAAGCATAAAAGTCCTCAGAAAGAGCCAGAACTCCACCAAGTAGCTTTTCTCTGAGGAAGTGCTCTAAGAAAGCAACAAGACAGAGCATCTTGCCAGTGTTTACCGCTGTCAGCATGTCTGAACTGCCCAGCCCTCAGATCCAATAGACTCTGACTCAATTAAATACTCCACCGTATTGAATGGGAGTTTATCAATTGATTTGAGCAGTGGTAATGTGATAATCGAGGGGAACTGGATAGCATATTAGCACAAGGCCCTGACAGCATTATCGTATTCATTCTCTATTGGAGGTGGCCTAATTGAACACCTGGATGAACATGTCTTTATGTAGCCCTGGATTTAATTAAGATGGGCATTTTCCCAAACACAAGGCAAACTGTATCACATAATGTGCTACAGCTGATCAAAGAAAACTCGGTAACAAATGCCATGCTTAAGCCAGGACACAATTAGCCATGCTGAAAGGTGTAAGGTGAAATGGGCTTGAAAGTCTAACTTCTCGCTCCAATTTTACAGTTGCCAAGTGATCTTAAAAAACAAGGGGTCGTAGGGCCCACAGTACACGCATAACAATAAAACTGCATTACACAAAAAACAGAATCTAGGCCTCAGGTGTGACATATAAAATACTTTTTTTTAATAACAGGTCAGCCTTTATATCAACTGAGAAAAATGTGCAAACACTCAGTGCCTTTTATGTGAAGGGTTTCCATGCAGGGAGAGCACATATGTGTAAAACAACACAAAATTACAAAAATTAAATAAAATAAAAACAAGGAGGGAAAAGAATAACATCATCCTCAGCAGGATGGGTATAAATGGAGTCACAATGGATAGTAGAGCTTACCAGCAGTGGCAGGGTTGATGCAGTCAAAAAGGGTCCCTTTCCTTTAATTATTTACTTCCCTATCCGACATTGTCCTGCAAGAAGTAAGAATACATTCATTTGAGGGACCCTTTTCTGTGAACCAAGCAACCAGGAGCCCATCCACTCGAGCATCGTCAGCATTGTGGAGAGGGAGCATGACACTGCTTGTGCATGTTTTTGCATGTATCTATGTTTGGATTGTTTTGTCTGGAAAAACTGAAAATTTTCTCCCCTCGTGAGGTTTTGTTCAAAACAGTTACACAAATCATTTGCTCTTCTTTATATTTTGATAGTGCAATTGGAACCATATGGCATTCACTTTGGAGTACAACTTTGGAGCCATGTTTAATTCTTTTTAGCACTGTATGTGAGTAAAATATTAGGTCTGACACTTGGTTGTGAGAGACCAGACCAAAATTACAAATAGGTTTTATGGAAACATCTCAGGTTTGAGTAAAAACAGGAGTTACAGATATGCTCACTTAAGCCTGAGGTTGAGGGGTGCTGGTGATGATGCTCAGGTAGGCAGGTCCTTTGCAACATGTCTGCAGCTCTAAAACAACACCTTCTCACTGCTAATAAGCTCTAAATTAACCACGACTATCTATTTAAATCTTCATATATATAT